GTTGCCGACCGTCACTTTCAACCGAGCGGCAAAAGCTACGAGATGAAGGTGTCTTTTTTGCAGGGTTACAATGTTGAGAAGTAGCATTGTGAGGGTCAAATTTAAACTTTCTGAAAAGCTTCTTTCAAAGTGAAGGTAAACACGTGTTGAATAGAAATCTACCCCATGTGTATACACCTTGGAAAGAAAAATAGAATTTGATTGCATTCATGATAGCTTCTTTCAATTTTCCTCACAAAAGTTTTCTTTTATAAAGGGTCAGTCCTCATGAAAACATTTTTTCTTGACTGTAGATTAGAACCTGACTTCACACTTTTTGTTCATACATTTTTCTCTTCTCCTCAGTACTTTTCTTAAAACAGAAGTGGTTTTCCAGTCAATACGATGGTTGCAAGTCATATGCTGTACATTAGCCAGGACATGAGAGTTATGCTGTTGTTCTTGTTCTCTGTGAGCTGGTGTATTCTTGCCGCTCTTGGGGAAGGTTTGTGTACTTTGCATTTAACTACTTTTTAATTTTATGTGTAAAAATTTTTGAGTTTTTCCTTAAAAACGTTTCAAAGGTTCAAATCACACATAGAATTTTGACCCAAGTGTCGAACTTTGTTTATTTCTATCCTGAAATTCGTCTATAGCGAAATTCATGCATAGCGAAAAGATTTTCACAAACTGCCTATTTTCATTATAATGTGGGAGCTAGACTGTTTGTTATGGTCAATTTGATTTTCGTCTCAGAAGTATCTCAAGATCACGCACTGATCAGCAGAGTGCTATCCAGAAAGATCCACTCATCCCCATTTTTTACCCCAAAGGTCAAGCATCCCGATTTTTTCCATTTCGATCACATGTATCCCAATTTTTTTGTTACGTCTGTTGGGTCGGATTTTTCTAGAAACCTACTCTGCCTTCTTCTCTGTCGCGGGAAGTACCTGATTAACTTTAGGTCAGCAGGAAGTCTGAGCACTATTTTCCAAAATATCAATGCTGGATTTACATGTTCGCATCATGCAGCATGTCTTTAGCATGTGCGTTTCATGTATTTTGGGGACCATCCTTTGACGGGGTCAACTTAAGTTCATGCACACTGGTCGAGGTATCTTTCAGGATTTATTTTTTGGGGGAGGGGCGGGATAGACACTTTGATTAGGAGTGCTTGACGTGATACTTCAGGATTAAAAAGAAGAAAGATAAAACACACACACACACACACGCGCGCACACACACACACAGAAGGCGTGTATACATGGATATAATATATTTATGGACACCCCAGGAAAAGTTTTAGTCAGCCTGGCAATCACCTTGGGGGTTTGTCGTTGATCCCGATCTTTTGCTCCAAATACTAATTTTTTTCCCCTGAGATCATGATTTTTAGATTTCATAGAGTGGCACATTATTCACAGTATAGGTCTACATAATGGCCATAAAAAAGCTATTAAGAAAAATCAATATTTCACCTTTTTTTCCTCCAATTTCTATTATTATTTTATTTGTTCAACAACAGCAAATGCACCAGCATCAGCCTTTTTTGCGTCCCCATCTTTCTATTCTTTTTTAAGCTTGTTTTGGATAGAAGACCATAATTTGGAATGTGCATTTTTTTTTGTGACGGCATATAAATCAGTCCTGTGAAAATTGTTATAAAATAATTTTTACATCTATTTATTTTAACCTCTAAAGAAAACATTTATATAATGAGTCATTTTGGAAGCCTTGCATTAAATGAAATTGTTTCTTTCCTTTGCACTTTCAGACTCGAGTTCTCATCCAATCATCTTACATTTGGTTAGCGCCTGCAATAATTCTGCCAACTTGTCATGGAGTATCCCAGTATCAAGCCCTTTTGTGATTCCGGAAAATTCTGCAGAAAGATGTGCACTCACATACTTTCAGACAGGGGAGAAAACTGCTCAGATTATCGACATGTACTTGGAGCCCCACTACCAAATGATCAGTTTGTTTGACCTCTCTGAACGGACAAGCTATACAGCATTTGTTGTCTGTGGTGGATCTTACAGGACTAACGATGTCACTTTTCAGACGGGTATGGTATATATTTAAAAATACTTATTCAGGGATGCCGTTTTTCCATTATTTTTCAATTTGTTTTGGGCATTGTCCGTTCTTAAATCGGCTTTTCCATTCTTCGGATCCGTTCTTTGTTAACCGCGCAAAAATGGTTGTGGGGGAAGCCGATTTTCTGTTCTGTTCCATGTATACGGACAGAGCAGTACGAGGATCCATATTTCAATCAATTGAGCTATATATCAAAATGCGCATGATCAACCGGATGTTTAGGTCCGATTTTAAATGCAGGCCAGGCCTGTCCTTGTGCACTCACTATCACGCTTGGGAGATCTTGATCTAGATCTTTGTTTTATTGTTGAACTGATAAATGATATTGTTTTGTTACATTTATTGCTTCATCGCATGATAAATCTAGTTGGGGAGTGGGGGCTCGGGCTCTCATGGTCTAGAGGTGAAGGTTTTTGTCTCTAGAAAAATTTTCTCTTCTAAAATTATCTCCTTTCACCTCCTTTCCTGCTCTCTAGCAATGTTCTGTCGTCTGTTTTCATCTCCACTTTCTGCCCCCATCCCCTCACCTCCTTTGCCCCCTCCTCTGGGCTCCTGACTCTTTCTGCAGCCTTTCTACTGCTACTCCTTGGCTCCTTATTACTGCTGTCTTTCAGCCACACCCGTGATCTTCTATTAGAAAAGATCTACACCTAGCCTTCTCGGACAGGGGTGAAAATTCTCGGAGGTCCCCTGTGCAAGTTGCACACGTTATAGATCCCTTGGTGGTCTAAAATCGACAAGAGTAGGCTTCGGCTGCCACCCGGGAAAAATTCAAAATTTCCTGCCCACCAAAAAATGTTTAATGTGTCCCACGCACTCATACGACCTTATGCAGTTGCGAGTGCTGTAAAATTCTTACTAATAAATAATAATTGTAGTCTCGAAAAAATTTTCAGTTATTTTTACAAAAGTCCAGTGGCATATCCCTGCATGTTATGATGTTATAAATTTATTTGCTCGTCAAATATAAATCCATTAAAGCGTTGGAGGGCCTAAATTGTGTGAATGGAGATGTAAAAAAGCCTGCGTGATAAAAAAATATTAGAAATTGGATGTCTTTATTTTGGCTACAAGTAACACAAATAAGCAATTTGTAAGCCCTCATAATAACATCCGCGCCC